GCAACCCTCAGTGTTGCCCCCGCACCGGGCCGGGGACCGGCAACGGGATTGCAACCCTCAGCGTCGCCCCCATGCCTCGCTCAGCCAGTGAGCGGGAACCGGTCTGTATGTGGGATCCGAACCCTCGAGCAGGAGCGCCACCGCGCTTCCCAAGCGGCGCACTATCCAGTGCGCCACCGGGCCGGCCCATCTGCTGCATTTTCTTCCACCTTCAAACTGAATACTCATCATGACATAGGAAAAGGCAGATATGTCCCACATCAAACATTGCTTATACCACCCTTCCATCTTTTAAAAGAAAATTATATTTTGAGATAATTGCAGGTTCACATGTAGTGGTAAGAAATAATACAGAGAGTTCCAGCATAGCCTTTATCTGGTTTTCCCCACTGGTAACATCTTGCAAAAGTATGTGCAGTATGATGACCAGGAAAGAAGACATTGATACAGTCCACCACTTTGTTCAGACTTAACCAGTTTCTCATGCACTCATCTGTGTGTATGTGTGTATTTAGTTCTTTAAGATTTTTTTGCCATGTATACATCGAGCAACCACCATCAGTCAAGTTATAGAAAGTTGGCCACTTGTAAAAATTCTCATGCTGCCTTTTATTGCCACACATGCCCTATCCCAGTCCTGTCCCCTAGTCTGACAATCACAAATTTTTACTCTGTCTCCATCATTTTGTCATTTCAAGAATGTTACATAAATGGAACCATACAGTACACAGACTTTTGAGATTGGCTGTTTTGCACTCAGGGGAATTCCCTTGAGATCCATCCTTGTTATTTCGAGTATCAATAGTTGGCTCCTTTTTATTGCTGATACTCTTCCATGGTGTGGATGCACCAAAGTTTGACTGTTCACCTGCTGAAGGACATTTGGGGTGTTTCCAGTTTGGGGGTATTATACATAAAGCTGCTGTGAGCATTAGTGTACAGGATTTTGTGTGAACATATGTTTTCATTTCTCTGGGACAAATGCCCAGGAGTGCAATTGCTGGGTTATATGGTCAGTGCATGTCTAGCCTTCATCTGTCTGCCAACCCCTTCCCTGCTCCCTTTTCTTAGAATTACAAATTGTCCCTTTTGTCTACTGCCTTTTAGCTCTCAATATAGTTTGGTTTGCTTCCACACCATTCCACCAAAACTGCTCTCTTATGAAGTCTTTTAAAAAAATTTTTGGTTATTTTTTAATCACATAATAACTGGTAATTATTAGACTTGAAAATACATATTTTCCATATTTTCCAGGCCTTTCTGGCTGTCTCCTCGTCAGGTATTGATTATCCCTGTGGGGCCAACTTGTGAAGAATATGCACTCCAGGTAAAATAAAAGACACTTAAAGTACGCAGTCATCTTGCATGAGTTCTGTGTCAGTCATTGACCTGAAATGTCATTCATGCTTTAAAATATTGCATAACTAACACATTAATTTAACAACTTGTGTTTTCAGGAATTGGGAGTGACACATGAATCATTGTCTATGTAGCTGTATCAGAACTATTTTATTTCTTAATGTTTTTGAGAAATTGGTATTTTAAAACATCTCATAATTAAATTATCCTTTTCCACATGGCTCTGTTAGGGAAGAATACTCTATTTCTGTTGCTGCATAACAAGTTATGCCAAAATTTAGCAGCTTAAACAACAAACATTTATTATCTCATAGTTGCTGTGAGTCAGGAACTGGGGAGCAAGTGTAGCTGGTTGGTTCTGGCACAGGGTGTCTCATTAGGCTGCAGTCAGGCTGTTGGCCAGGGCTGTGTCTGCAGGGCTCACTCACAGGACTGGTGGATACTTTGGCTCCTTAGCATGTGGGCTTCTTCATAGGTTAGGTTGCCTGAATGTCCTTGCAGCATGGCAGCTGGCTTCCCCCAGTACAAGTGATCTAAGAGAGATGGAAGCTGCACTCTTATAGACAGACAAGTCTCAGAAATGATATGCCATCACTTCCACCCTTCTCTGTGGTCACACAGGTACAATGTGTGGTCACTGTAGATACACATACACACAGGTACAGTCTATGGTCACTCTGATACAACATGGGGGAGCTACTCGAGGTATGAATACCAGGAGGTAGGAACCTTGGGCATCCCTTGGAGGCTGGCTATCATAAATAATGTAATAAAAAAAGTGTTTGATTTTCTTCTAGGTATCCAATGAATTTTTTGAGGAAGGATTCATGGCTGATGTTGACTTAGATCAGAGTTGTACACTAAATAAGAAAATACGGAATGCTCAGCTGGCTCAGTATAACTTTATTTTGGGTAATTTAAGTTTGTATATATTTTTCTAATTGCCTGTTTTTTGTTTTTCACTTTAATTCCAAAAAACAAAATAAGGAATATGGTACAATTACTTGATTATCACAATTTGTCTGTTTAATACTTATACACAAAAAAAGAGTCTGTGGTGTTCCTGGGTTAGCTGTCCCTAGGTACTCTTTGTTATTTGCTATAAGAAGAGTTATAAAGTTTCACATGAATCCTTTGGTGTAGTAGTACTAGCAATTGTTAATATTGCAAATGAACAATGAAAAAAATGTGAAAATGACCCCTTCAGTAGTATTATACTCCTTATATTTCAGCCTGAGTGGCCTGAAATATTTTCCTTTGCTTTTCTGGTTTATTAGGAATCTTTGGGAATAAACTAATAGATGGAAAAGATTCCACATTTAAAATTATTTTAAAAATATAATTTACGTGAAAAAATAAAATGTCCTTGAGGCACATAATTGGATGCAGAATCTCAAATTTTGACTTTAAAAATGATCCCCAAATCAAGAGAAACTGACATTGATATGATTGCAGGTGTAATACTACTATCTCCTGGAAGCTGAAAAAGTTTGTAGAAGGCAAGATAAATATGCACAGAGTTGTCCTATTGACAGTTTTTCATTGATAATGTTTGACTCTGTAGTAGGTATTGTGGTATTTCTACCAGGCTTCTTGTGGTGGTAGAAATCTCAATTAGCTTAGACAGAGATGGAATTTATTGGAAGGGTACTAGCATATCCCATGACAGGAAAGGTAGAATTAAATAGCCAAACCAAGAGTAACCAGGAGTTCAACCCTTACCAGGACTGTTTCTTCCCATTTCTGGCTCCTGTTTTGCTCTGGTTCTTCATGCTTTTCTTGAATATCTACTTTATCTCACTTATCTGTGGACTAGTTTCTTCCACGTGGCAAGAAACATCACTGCAGATTTCTGCATTGTCTCACAATATGGGTCACTGGAGAAAAACATTTCACCCACATTCCAGAAAATTCTGGCGGCTGGCATGAGTCTGGTGTCCACCCCTTGACTCATCAAGTACGCCAGGTGGAGTCAGGGGATCTGTCAGAGCTCTCTGCTCCCATTTGTACCCCAAGACCACAACAGCTCTTTTCTCACATGGGCAATAGAGAGGTGGGAATAGAAGTCATTTCTTCCCTCAAGAAACTTAACAATCAGAGGATGAACCTAATGGATATTAATGATTAATAGTGAAGAAAAACTCAGTAAGACATGTCACGTGACTGTTGACTTAATGTTTAGTAAATTGTTGACTTAAAATATGTTTATTTTCCCTTCTACAGTGGTTGGAGAAAAGGAAAAGATAAATAATGCTGTAAATGTTCGGACAAGAGACAACAAAATTCATGGAGAGATTTTGATAACTTCTGCCATTGCTAAATTGAAGAATCTCAAGAAATCACGTACACTACATGCTGAGGAAGACTTTTGAAGCCCTTTCCTTGTAGTTGCTCCTATGTAACTTTGTTTTGACGTTTGGAAATGTATTTTTCTTAACTAGTTAACATATTGGTACTTTGAAGAACTTTGGACCCACTGATGGGTCCGCTTGTGGCCTAGTTAGGAAAGGGAACAATGAACGAGTAGCTGGTATATATACAACATTCAGTTCAGTAGCGTGCTCTGAGGACAGTAAGAGGATGAACTTGGGAAATTTTCAAGCAGTCAATGCCTTGAGTGACTTAAATGGGGAAACATTATTCTTTGAAAGAAGGAAACACTAGGAAATGAGGATTGTGGCATGTTATTGCTAAGATTTGTGATTTTCGGAAGATGGGCTTCAAATAAAAGTCTGCAAAGCTTTTTTGATTATAGAGGAAAATGTTCTTTTCTAATAATGTCTCAGGTATTTTTATGGCTGTTTTACTAAAATTCACATTGAAACTTTATCTACAAAATTGGAATCATTACTTAACTAATCAACAACCACAAAAGAAGCAGCTAGTACTAAGTACTAAGTTACTGACAAAGGACTCTGAATCTCAAAGAAATTCAGTCTTGTGGAACGTGTCATTTGCACTATAGATTTTTAATTTTAATGTTTCTAATTCATAGTTGATCCTTGTTCATCTTTAGAAAAACATTAATTCCCAAATAAAATGGATCACACAGTGTTTCGGCCATGGGCTATATACCACAGTAAACTGCTCACCTAGAGTTAAATTACTTTTTTGATGGGATGACATTCCACTGATGTATAAACACAACTGGATTTCAGATTTTAACTGAGAGGAGTACCTTACTTGCTCAGCAAGAAGTATTTGAGTGTTTATTTGGCTAGGTAGAATGTAAAATAAACCTAGGACATGATTTCTCTTTTCTACATACTCATTCAGTTAGCTTCCTAAAGGAAGTGAACAGTGAAACAGCTGGTAAGTGTTATATATCAGTCCTGTGTAGTAGTATAAGGTGCGGGTTGTGTGATATAATTTTTAAAGCTAACATTTACTGAGTGCTTACTCTGTGCCAGGCAACGTTCTATGTATTTACTTCCTCAAATGTGCAAATGAGGGAGTGGAGTCAGAAGATCCCTTCATGATCTTGCGACAGGCGGGTGGAAGACAGAAGCTTGTCAACAGCACAGTACGAAGTATGCTGCAATGGAAACAGGCACAGGTTGCCATGAGCACGCAGGGAGCCTGGCGGCCTGGGCTATGGGCTGTGGCTCCCCTCTGAGGCAGACCCTCTCCAGGGAGCGGCTGTGCTTTGGATCCTCCTTTCACATCCCAGCACCCTGGGCCTGTGTTTGATAGTACCGCCTGCTCTTAAGGAGCCGAGCACTGGACCCGAGGGGAATGGGGCCTTCGGGCGCCTGTCACTCCTCGGGGCTGCTTCCCATGCTGTGTTTGGACCAGCGTCTTCATTTGTAAATAAGTACTTAAATATGAAATTAAATGTGATGTCATCAAAACCTTTGCACAGTTTCCAGCACGCAGTAGCAATTTTTATGTCCAAACATACATATTGAGCCGGCTGGTTAGCTCACTTGGTTACAGCGTGGTGCTAACACCAAGGTCAAGGATTCGGATCGCCATACCGGCCACCCAAGATTAATAAAATAATACACATATGCACCCACGTAAAATGTGCCCGTCTCTGCTTTCGTCACTTCGGGCTTGAGTTTCAGTCCCCAGGTGACCTTGCCCGGTCTCCAGTAGTGTTAGGAGAGGGGAGCGCCTCGTCAAACGGCATGGGGGGCGCTTGGGAACCGAGCAATCCCACAGGACCGACTTCCCAGCGGGCGCGGTGGCGGCGAAGACCACACGTAACCCCTAAGGCGAAACAGAGCCGCCGGCGCGCAGAGCCGATATGCGCCTGCGTCGCGGCTGCTCGGGTCATGCCCGGACCGCCCGCTCCCCGCGGAGCCCCTCCCTCTGCCCGGAAGTGCGCGCGCGCCGGCAAGATGGCGGCTGCAGCGGGCTTGTTGCGGGGTCTGCGCCGCCTGTGCCGAGTGCTGCTCTTCCTCTCGCAATTCTACATTCTGTCGGGCGGTGGTGAGTTCGAGGCCGGGGGGTCCGCGCCGGGTCGGGCAGGGTGGCGGGCGGGCTCCGGCAGCTGAGGGAAGCGTCCGGGCCGCGGGCCGCAGTGGAGGTTGTCGCGGGGAGGAGGCTGGGTGACGGGCGCGGAGCGGTGGTCGCTGCAGCCCGCGTCTGGCGCGTCCTGGCCGCTGGGCCGGGGAGACAGAACTGGATGATGCCACCCTCTGTTTCCCGTTGCCCGTAGACCTTAGTTGGTGTCGACCCTGTTGGCGTTTCTGGCAGTCAAGCCGTGAGGTTTACTTGAGCAGTATTGGCCTGGTGTAGACCCTGCGTGTTAACCAAGACTTTCGTATCGCGGGGTAACGTGTTTCTCTCAATTGTAGGATCCTTAAATTTAGAGCATTCGCAGCCTCTGGCTCAGTCAGTAAAGGGTCCGGGCCCATCACGTACATTCTCAGTAGTTCCCAGGGCAGCAGGTTACTAGACGATTTCTATTCTGGTAAATGGGTACCAGTAGCAGTTCCTTCCTCTTTCTCTATTTTTGATAAAATTTCTTTTAGTATACCAAGTCACTTTCCGGTTTTGAATATTTTTTATATTGTGTTTTAGATTTCGTGAATTAAGGGCAGTATATATACGGCCATTTTCAGTGGACAGTCTTCGTATTTGAATGCCCTTTCACGTTTTCCAGCCGCACGCTTCTTATTTCTAGCTCCTCATTTCTGTTATTTTTCCACTTCATCCATCAAGATAACCTTCCACCAGTGCTTCTTTCTCTTCAGAAAATTTCTTCTACTTCTAGAACCCTGCTCCTGAGTTGGATATTAAAGGCTCTCCCAAGGCTGTGTGAAATGGAAGGATCACAGAGGGACTGATCGTCAACTTGGGAGTCTAGGTCTGCTTGTGCCACTGGGAGCTTCATCCTTCTGGGCTTTAGTTTCCTCATCTTTAAGGCTGCCTTAAGTCATTTTCACTTTGTGATTCTAAGTGTCCAGCCTCCAGCTACTTAGTAATAGGACAATGGAAAGAAAAAGGTATTTGTAGAATTGCCCACTTAATACAGTGACTTTAAGTAGGACCAGTTTTAAGTGAGCATTAGTGTGTTTTGCTGAATGGAACTTTTGATTCTGTAGTTTCATCCCTTTAGAGTTCCGTTATTTCAATGAATTGCAACTGGCAGAGGTATTTTACTAATTCTCATTTGGATGTAAAAGACAGCAGGTACCTGAAATAAAAATGCAGATTATTTTTTAGAGAAAGCACAAGAATTTTTGTCTGTCTTGCATGTTTTTGAAAATCCTTTTTCCTCCTCAAGAATACTTACAATTTTGATCCTCTCTTAACTGGTTAACATATATTGCACACCTGGTTAGTTTGGCTGAAAAAAGTTACAACTTGTTGAACAAGTTAGTAAAATAGAGAATTATTTTGAGCTTTGGTAGTATAGAACTGTGAATGTTATATTAGCAAATTATGGCTTATTGAAGTACCTGTGGAGAATATGACTGGACATTTTCTAGAGTCAGTTCTCTGAGGGTGTCAGTGGCTTAAATTCAAAATTAGTGAATTCAAATGAAAAGAACATTGGATGGGAAATGGAGAGATTTGGGTTCTCGTTCCAGTTTTGCCACAGACTTCCTCTGTGATTTTACACAAACCCTACCATATCTAAGCTTCAGTTTTTCGTCTTATAAAATGGTACATTTTTTGAGTCCCTAACTTGGACCTAGCATTTTCCATACATTAGTTGTACACGAGCACCTTTAGTTTTTATGTCCACTTGGGAGGCAGGTGTTCACACCACTGGCTAGTTGCAGAACCCCGCTTCAACTGCAGGGGTCTGTGACTCCAGATCCCTTCTTTTTCTGTGCCAGCACAGTCTTTCTTTGCTAATGATCTTGTCTCTTAACCTCAGACAGTTGTTTTCTTCTGTTCTGATCAGTATTGTGAGAGAATAAGCTTCTCTGTCACCTCTCACAGAGAGTACCGAAATCCCACCTTATGTGATGAAGTGTCCAAGCAATGGTTTGTGTAGCAGACTTCCTGCAGACTGTATAGACTGCACGACAAATTTCTCCTGTGTCTATGGGAAGCCTGTCACTTTTGACTGTACAGTGAAACCTTCTGTTACCTGTGTTGTAAGTACTGCAGCTTATTTATTCTTAATAAATTCATTGTAAACCTTGACTTAAAAGTGCAGCTTAGACTTGACTATTGGGGGGGAGATCCTGAAATAATTCTTTTATAACTGCCCTGTTAAGTGTATAAATATTTTTTATTATTTTATGACTGCCACGTTAAATATATAAATAGAAATTTTAACAGCCTGCAGTCCCTTCCATATTAGATCTCTACTGTTCCAATTATAATGGTAACTGTCAAGCCAGTCTATGCCAGCTGGAAATGTGCTTGACAGAAATGTTGCTTTGTAGGATTTGGGGAAGATCTCAGTCTACTAGTATATCTGAAGCAGTTATAATTCCTTCAGATAAGTTCTATGTTCTTAGGAATGACAGCTAATGTGCAGGGGGTGGGAGGGGGGAGCAGATGGTAACATCTTTTCTCTGTAGATGAGCTTTTGAAGGAGTCAGTATTGCTCTGTAGTGAGAAGATGGATTCAATAAATGCTGGGATGCCTGGGTAGCGCTCTAGAAAAAAATTAAGTGGAATCCCTGTCTTGTCTAAAATAAATGCCAGGTAGACCAAAGATGTTATGTGAAAAATGGAACCATGAAGTACCAGAGAAAACATAAGGTAGTTTTTGTAATAATCCCAAGTGGGGAATATTTTCTAAATATGAAATAAAATTTAGAAGCCGTAAAAGAGGGCCGGCCCGGTGGCGCAGTGGATAGTGTGCCGCTTGGGAAGCGCGGCGGCGCTCCCGACCGAGGGTTCGGATCCCACATACGGACCGGTTCCCGCTCACTGGCTGAGCGAGGCGCGGGAGCAACACCGAGGGTTGCAATCCTGTTGCCGGTCCCCGGTCTGGTACGGGGGCAACACTGAGGGTTGCGATCAGTTGCCAGACATGGAAAAAAGACAAAAGACAAAAAAAAAAAAAAGAAGCCATAAAAGAAAGAATTGGTACATTTGACTACTAAGAATTAGAGATTTCTGCATAACCTAAAAAAGCATAAAGGCAAAACACAAATTATAAACTAAGAAAAAGTATTTCTAACATATGTGACGCATAATAAATACTCTGATATCCATAATAAAAGCCAATGAGAAAAACATGACAGTCTTTATAGAAAAATGGTATTAGGACATGAGCAAATAGATGGTTCATAGGAAAGGGAATACAGATGGACTTTTAACATTAAAATGTGTAATTT